TATATAAATAAATATTATAAGCATAGAAACAAGTTAGAACAAATTGTAGTACATGTACCAGTGCTAGTATGAAAAACCCAAAGTGACAGGCATCAGCAGCAATGCCTTTTGGAGATTCTTCCCTGCAATATAAACTGAGTGCCTTTTACACAGACAACATACTATAGTATTTAGTGACAATGAGATTTGAGAGATAACGGATACCATGAGCAGCCAAAAAGGATGGGTCCATTTAAAAGGATTATGCGCCCTGTCATAGCTGAAGTCAGTAAGAGATGAGGACACCCAGCCTTTATGGAAGTAATTTTTATCTTAGAATGGGCAGCAAAAAAAAAGAAACCTGTAATCAGGCAAGACTTGAAATCATGAATAAATGTGAGTTTCCAGGATAACAACACAGGAAAGGAAACAAAACCAGGGATTTCTTTCCCTTTTTCTGCCCTTAAGATCATAAAGGTTTTAATCAGAGCACAGAAAAAAATACGAAGAAAAGATTGGGGGCATCCTTGGTCTGTTTCTATATCTTTTACAGCAAGAAGAACACGTGCCATACACTGCCTGTGGGAAGTGTGTACGGATGACTTTTTGCACAAGTGCAGTCTTCTTCTGGGTAAAGTTCTCTTATTCTTTCCCCTCATTAATTCACTTGTCTAGGAAGTGTCTAAAAAAAAGATCCTCCTGAAATGAACGAAAGGTAGCAATGGAACAGGTTCAGCTGGACTTCCATCTGATACATAACCCAAGCCCACAAGGTATGGACCCACATGAAGAAGGTAGCTGTAGTCACCAAATACTCATTAGCATACAGTCAACAGAAAATACATATTAAAATATCCTGCAGCTATAGCTTGTGAGTTATGTTTGCAAAAGTGGGCCATTGGTTTTCCCCTCGTTATTTTAAGACAAATGTATCTGGTTTTGGGGGGGAGGGGAGTAGGGGAAAGACTTTGGTTTATATGCTCTTGTCCCTGCCCATTTCTATCCTACTTGTTCCAGCTGCTTGCTTCAATATCATGTCCTGGGCCTCTTTCAGGGTTTTCACTTCACTTAACAGAGCAAAGCTGAGCCCTCTCTAATCTTCCAGAGCTGCTGCTTTAATTACAGCTGAAACTTGAAAGCAGTCTGGTCACCCATGAAACAATATATAACAGGGTGAGCATGCCCAGAGAGGTCACCTTCAAAAGCTGTGTTTTAGCATGCTGCGTGTCCTCCTCACCTGTAGCACAAAAAGCAGCTGGAAGAGACCTCATCCGAGGTGAGAGGAGACAGACAGGAGATGGAATGGTGGCTGGCAGCCCAGGAGACCCTCAGTGTTGACACATCTGAAACAGAAAGGAAGGAATACTGGCTTGCTGCTGGATTTAAATAGGCAGGGCTTCAGGTTGAAGGGAAGACATTTGGTCTGGGTTTGTCATTTGTGTTACTGCACTCTTACTCTGTGCAGGGAGGGGAGAGGTAGGTGGATTCACGGCAGTTTGCAGAGGCAGTGAAAAAAAGATTTGCAGCACTGAGGACCTTAATCTGAATCATAGCTAGAGAACTAGCAAGAAATAAAAACAGGAAGAGAAGCAGACACAGAGGAGACAGCAAGCAAGATGGGATGCATGGATCATTGTTACAAATCTTGCAGATCACATGACTTGGCTTAAAATTTGTCTGTTCCTTTGAGGGGTCTAGTCTGTAATACTACCATATAAAAGAAAAGGTACAGCCCCTCCCGTAATCAGTGCATTCTTCCTAGTACATTTGCCATCCTACCAATTGCCCAACGTCACAAGAGGGAAGTTTCTTCCATCACATGCTTCAAGGCATAAGATACGACTACGCATCCCGTTATCTTCGCTCGCATTGGTACAAACCTTGTTATTAGTCATAAAGCAGACCATCTCTTTTCTTTCCTGCAGATTGGCTATGCTGCATGAAAAAAAGTCTTCTTTTATGGATACTATATTTAGTGCCTTCTATCTTATTTGATCATCCTCTTGCAATGGAATGACAGGCACACAATTGGTTTCCTTTTGCCTGCTGTAAAAAGTGTTTCAAACTCACTTTTTCCCAAAGCCAGTGGTTCAACATTAACATCTTTCTTGCATTCCCTTGGCAGATTCTTTTGATTATTGCTTCAGTTATTGGAATCATTGTCTACAGGCTCTCAGTTTTCCTGGTGTTTTCTGCAAGGTTGACACAGCACATTAGTGGAAAGGAGGTGATCCGCAAGTACCTGACTCCACAGACAGCCACTTCAGTAACTGCTTCGATCATCAGCTTTGTAGTCATTATGCTTCTCAACATTGTCTATGAAAAAGTGGCAATCCTGATTACAGACTTCGGTATGCTGCTGCTGTACCTCAGATACAAACTTGGGGCAAAATAGCAAGAAAAAATAGCATTTATATGTATAATAAGAACTCCAATAAATGAACACCTGTACCACATATTTCAGAGTTTTCCCACCAAATCATACAATACCATCTAGAAATTTTCAAATACAGATTTTCTCAATATCAAAGCAATATGATATTAATCTCTTTGCCTGAAAACTTTTATAGCCAGCATGAAAGATCAATTGTTTACAGTTTTGTTCTTGTGAAACAGACAAAGCAAAGAAAATTACTATAATAACCAAGCTTTATTAAAACAGATCAGTAATGCATAACATATTCAATTACATTAGCTTTTGTTTACGAGGAGAATAGCTATTTTCTTGTAAATAAATGAAATAAGGTCACTGTTTCAGAACTAGATACCATTCCTATGTTATTAAATAGATAAACAATCACAAATATTATTATTCTTTATATCCAGACCGTCAACATTACAGTAGCTATTTTAGTTTAGATGTGTGAAGTAGTGCAGTGTTTTAATATAGTTTCATTTAATACTGTTTCATCAGTTCAGAGTGTTACATTTGCATCTTTCCTGAGTGTGCTGGATTTGGGTGCTTTTTTTTTTTCCCTGAGTTATCAGAATTTTTGTTTGTTCTTCTCCTTTATTGTCAATGAACAAGTTCTTTCCTTTTTACATATAGTTTTAGAACTAGCATAATGGTTACAGCATACATGGGGATTATGTACAATCTAATTTATAGCGCTCTCAGTCATATTAAGGATTACAAGGCATACACATACTTTTCCAGCTGAGGCTCTAAAGCAGCTTGTATGCTGCTTCTAGCTTGGCTCTATCTTTTTTTAATATTTTTTTTTTAATTGCAGAGCTTCCAAGGACACAGACCGATTATGAAAACAGTCTGACCACAAAGATGTTCTTGTTCCAGTTTGTCAACTACTATTCTTCATGCTTCTACATAGCCTTCTTTAAGGGTAAATTTGTAGGTCACCCTGGAAATCCAGTTTATTGGTTAGGAAAGTATCGCACTGAAGAGGTAAGAATGTGTGACAGTGTCTGTTTTTAAACAGCAGGAACCGTTAGTCCAGGTGTTCTGCTGGAGTTAAGAGTGTGTAACATAGTTGTACATATTTAACATGAGGGTTCAAAAAGTGACTGCCTCCCAAGCCGATTGCCTCCTTTGTAACCCTTAGCATAAATTAATATGACACAAGACACAGCTGGGCTTAGAAACATATTACGCAATTACCCACATAAGCCTATTTTCCCATGGTCCAACAACCTGTGAATCACCACAGAGGGGAAGGAGAAAACATCAGTAGAAACATTCCTGTTCTGCTGGATGGCCCTCGCCTGGTGACAGCACAGTGCAAAGCTGCATGACTTCACCTGGTATTTTGCTCTTTTGCTGGTGTCCCGTCAACCTACTACATGTGACCATATGTGGCCTGGAATTGGCTTTTGTGTACATTAGTGGAAATGTTTGCCTAAATAGTCTTCTTGCATTGTTTTAAGAAATGTTATTATAATAAAACAGGAAAACGTTATTTTAAAATCTTCATTCACACCTGAAAAATTACCCAGCTTCAAAAAATTTTCATGTCTCTCCCAACATTCAGTGTGATCCAGGCGGATGTCTCCTCGAACTCACAACTCAACTTGCCATCATAGTAGGAGGTAAAGCAATCTGGAACAACATTCAAGAAGTGCTTCTTCCGTAAGTTCAAATTAATATTTGAAAGATACTGCTTTTGCTTGATGCATTCAGGCATTTGGTCACTAAATTTAATAGAGGTGTGTTGTATGCTCCTATTGTATGCTTATTCTTAAAAGAATAAGACTAGTCTTTTGGGGCCATTTTAAACAGTTTTGATATTTTCGGTCTGGTAGCTCTGAGTTTCTGTCACTGTCATTCTGACTGATTTTAGTTCTAATCAGAAATGCTTCCTTTCTCTGCAAATCAAACTCAATGTGTTTCAAGTACTTAAAACTGAGGCAATAGAAACTCTGAAAATATTAGGCTAAATACTGTTTCTTAATATTGAGTGGAGTGATTTGGTTTTATACATGGGGCTTTTAAAATTATACATAAGTTATTCATTTAACTCATTTAGTTTTACAGTCATATTTGACACTCATAGTGCCTATACATTCTCTTTCAGTGGGGTAGATGTCTGGAAAGTCATGTTTCCATGTAAACAGTGAGCAAAGTGCTAACTGTGAATGCCTGCCATTTGATTCAGCTTAAGACACTATCCACGACTCTGTTCCTGCTCCCAGGAGTTGTTCTTCATTTTATGCTGATCAGTGGCTGTTATGTTGCTTGGAGTAGGGAACCCCCAGTTTGCTCATGCCCTCCTGAATGCCATAAGCACCAGCCCAAGGCATTATATTCCCTCTGGCTGTGGTTCTTCCAAGGGTGCTCTGCTGAGATATGGTTCCTGCAGACCCCAATGTTCTGTATATGCTGCTGGTTGCAGGATGTACCTGTAGACCCATCTTTCCCTTCAACACCTTCTTTTACCTGGGGAAGGGTCCCTAGACTGACCATGCCTGCAGATGTTAGGTCCAGCCATAGACAACTGACTCCCCCTTCTGTGTACAGGAAATATATTCATCTGACCAGAATTTGTAATTCATTTCCCAGGGTGACAAGGAACATTTAGGTGTTGAAATGCTGAGTATCACTTCTGGATCTGGTTCTTAACTGCTCTCTTATTCTGCATCTCTGCAAGTAAAAAGAGAACTATTTTGGTTGTTTCTCTGTTGATAGACATTCCCCCCACCCCCCATTTTTTTGAATATGGTTCTCATGTAAGCCTTTCAGATGAGAATCACAGAATCACAGAATCACAGAATGTTAGAGATTGGAAGGGACCTCGAAAGATCATCTAGTCCAATCCCCCTGCCAGAGCAGGAAAACCTAGATCAGATCACACAGGAACGCATCCAGGCGGGCTTTGAATGTCTCCAGAGAAGGAGACTCTCTGGGCAGCCTGTTCCAGTGCTCTGTCACCCTCACCGTGAAGAAGTTTTTTCTCATATTCAAGTGGAACCTCCTATGTTCCAGCTTGAACCCTTTGCCCCTTGTCCTATCACTGGATGTCACAGAGAAGAGCCTGGCTCCATCCTCCTGACACTCACCCTTTACATATTTATAAACATTCATTAGGTCACCCCTCAGTCTCCTCTTTCCCAGGCTAAAGAGACCCAGCTCCCTCAGCCTTTCCTCATAAGGGAGATGCTCCATTCCCTTCATCATCTTTGTGGCTCTGCGCTGGACTCTCTCCAGCAGTTCTCTGTCCCTCTTGAACTGAGGGGCCCAGAACTGGACACAATATTCCAGATGTGGTCTCACCAGGGCAGAGTAGAGGGGGAGGAGAACCTCTCTCGACCTACTGACCACCCCCCTTCTGATACACCCCAGGATGCCATTGGCCTTCTTGGCCATGAGGGCACAGTGCTGGCTCATGGTCATCCTGCTGTCCACCAGGACCCCCAGGTCCCTCTCCGCTACACTACTCTCCAACAGGTCAGTGCCCAACTTATACTGGTACCTGGGAAGATGAAGGAGCAGCTAATCTTGGAAATTATTTCCAGGCACATGAAGGACAAGAAAATAATCAGGAATAGTCAGCATGGATTCACCATAAGGAAGACATGGTTGGCCAACCTGCTAATCTTCTATGGTGAAATGACTGGCTCAGTAGATGAGGGAAGATCAGTCAATATTGTCTACCTGGAGTCCAGGTAGACACTGTCTTCCATAAAAGCCTTGTAGAGGAGTTATTGAAGTGTGGGCTGGATGAGCAGTGAGGTGGACTGAAAACTGGCTGAATGGCCAGGCCCAGAGTGTGGTGATGAGTGGCATGAAGTCTAGTTGGAGGCCAGTCACTAGCGGGGCCTGTCCTGTTTAACTTCTTCATTAATGGTCTGGATGAGGGGACAGAGTGCACCCTCAGCAAGTTTGCTGATGACACCAAACTGATAAGTCAAAGGGTTGTGCTACCATCCAGAAAGACCTTGACAGTCTGGAGAAATGGGCTCACAAGAACCTCATGGAATTCAACAAAGGGAAGTGCAAAGTCCTGCACCTGGGGAAGAACAAGCCCATGCACCAGTATATGCTGGGGGCCACACAGCTGGAAAGCAGCTTGACAGAAAAGGGACTGGGGACCCTGGTGGACACCAACTTGAGCTTGAGCCAGCAATGTGCCCTTACTGGAAATAAGGTTATTGGTATCTTCAGCTGTATTAGGAGGAGTGTTGCCAGCAGGTTGAGGGATCCTTCCCCTCTACTCCAGCACTGCGGAGGCCGCACCCGGAGTACTGTACCCATTTCTGGGCCCCCCAGTACGAGACAGACATGGACATACTGAAGAAAGTCCAGCAAAGGGCCACAAGGATGATTAAAGGACTGGAGCACCTCACATATGAGGAGAGGCTGACAGAGCTGGGACTGTTCAGCCTGGAGAAGAGAAGCCTTAGGGGAATCTCATCAACATGTACAAATACCTGAAGGTTTAGAGTAAAGAAGGAAACAGACTAATCTCAAAGACTAATGCGCAGTGACAAAACCAGAAGCAACGGGCACAAACTGAAACATAGGAGGTTCCCTCTGAAAAAAAGAAAACACCCTTTTACTGTGAGTGTGACCAAACACTGCCACATGGTTGCCCAAGAAGGTTTTGGACTCTCCATCCTTGGGGACATTGAAAAGCCATCTGGACACGTTTCTGGGCAACCAGCTTTAGGTGGCCCTGCCTGTGCAAGGTGGGGTTGGACCAGATGACCTCCAGAGGTGCCTTCCAACCTCAACCATTCTATGATTCTGTGAATTTTGTGATCGGAAGGAATTAGTCTAACCACAGGCCTACATTTATCTTGATTTTTTGTTACTTTGAATTTTATGTGGTCATTGACCTGTACAACATAAGTATAAATCACTATGATGCTGATATATTGCCTTTTACGCTCTTATTTATGGTTGTAAATAACTGCTTTCAGGATAAGGCAACAGATTATACTCATGTTTGAAGGAAGTTTTCAGTCATTCACAAATAACTAAATCCACTGTTCAAAGCTATAACAGCACAAATGTCAATTTTTTTCTATGTACTGAACTTTTTAGGTTATTTTACCAATGTTAGTGGTCTTTTTCTCCCTGGCTGCCAGTTGGGTGAAGAATCTAATCGGAAGATACTGTGCAGCTGCTAGATCAGAAAAAGTTGTTCCACGCTGGGAACAGGACTACCATCTGCAGCCCATTGGAAAACTTGGACTGTTTTATGAATATCTTGAAATGGGTAAGTAGCACTTTAGTTTGTTGTGGTGGGTCAACCTTGGCTGGATGCCAAGTGCCCACCAGGCCCCTCCATCACTCCCCCTGCAGCAAAATAAAGGGGGAAAATAAGATTAAATCTCGTGGGTCAAGATAAAAGCAGTTTAATTAAAGCAAAGGCCAAGGCCATGCACAGAAACAAAAGGTAAACAAAGATGTTATTCTCTGCTTCCCCTCAGTAAGCAATGTCCAGCCACTTCCCGGGAAAGCAGAGCTTCAGGATGTGCAGCAGCTGCTCCTGGAGACAAACACAGGAACAAATGCCCCCCTCCTCTTCCCTGCCCTTGGCTGTTATGGCTGGGGCGTTGTTACCTCGGGGCGGAGCTGAGGTCACAGGGTCTGGAACAGCCAATCCGGGTCAGCTGTCCTGGCTCCGCCCCCTCCCAAGCTGGGTTACAAACCCCCTGCTGGCTGCCAGGGTGACACTCAGCACTGGGAGGGTGCTGTGGGGATACTGACTCCATCTCAGACAGACCCAATACATTTGTATTTGCTATCGCTGCTGGGAACAAACATGCTTTATAGAAAATCTTCATACAAACAATGCTTAATAACTGCATAGACAGAGGAGATATGAATATTTTCCACGACAAGTTTCGATGCGCTGTTACAGATGGTTTTGCAAACTTTTATTAAGCAGCTTTGCCTTAATCCAACTTATAACTACGAAAGAGGATCTGATTGTAAAAGGAGGGCTACTGCTCCTTCTTTGCCCCATCCTCTGAGAAATGCATCCAGAAGCCAGACCACTGACATATTCTGGTGTTCCCCCACAGCTGCAGTGGAGTCTGCAATCACCAGGACTTGTCACTGGTCTCTTGGGAGCTGGCAGGTCTCTGGTTTGTTGCCACCATCTGTTCTGTAATAGCATTGTCAGCATACTTGTTGCAGTACCCAGACACCAATAAGAGGATTCTTAGTTCAGGCTTTCCAGCACAGCACTGGAACAGATAGTCATTAGATTTCCAAGTCTTCATGTTGAAGACATAAGTAAGAAATGGATGTTTAAATACCTAGAATAGTTCCTCTTGCTGTGTTGTGACTTGTAACATTTTCCCATCCACTCTACCTGGCAAGTTTTTTCAGTACTGTTGTGCTCCTGTCTTCACATACAGAAGATTCTGGTCTAGTGGGAGGTGTCCCTGCCCGTGTCAGGGGGTGTGGAACTAGATGGTCTTTAAGGTCCCTTCCAGCCCAAGACATTCTGTGATTCTATGAAGATTTGCTAGACCTCAGCTACTCTTTCTTGTCTCTCTCTCCCACAGTTTGGGTGTATAAACTATATGTTCTCATATATGCTTATCTCCAGTAAGTGAAAGCCCCATCAACGTATGTAACCTCTCCCTTCAACAGTTATACAGTTTGGCTTTGTTACTCTGTTTGTGGCCTCATTTCCCCTGGCTCCTCTTCTGGCTCTTATTAACAACATGTTGGAAGTCCGGTTGGATGCATGGAAGCTGACAACCCAGTTCAGGCGCATGGTTCCACAGAAGGCACAAGACATCGGCGCCTGGCAGCCCATCCTGCAAGGCATAGCCATTCTGGCGGTGGTCACCAATGTAAGTACTGGGCCAACAACTGCACAAGGTAAAATGCCTTCACCACAAGTGTTACATCCAAATGTGGGAATGCCACGTATGGCAATGTATATCACACCGAAGTGGCTACAGGCAAAGCACTTAAACAAACCTAAATTGTGAGCTTCAGTCCCCTAAGATTTTGGCCCCTGTGGATTAGGCTCTCAGTTACTTTTCAGATATTTTGGAAACAGAATATGGCTACTGTCTAAAACATTCTATATAAAGAAAATAATTTTTTTTTAGCATTGCTGGAGTCTTCATAAAAATCTGTTACTTATGGACACTACAGTGCATCTTTCCTGAAATTATAGCACATAGTACAGAGATCTTTTTGGACCATGTACAGCTAAAATGCATGAATTTTGAAAAAAATAGGTTGAGGTTTAACTAAGTTATAATTGATTGTTGTTTCTAATTGTTACAATTCTTACAGTCAATGCCTTCATATTTGAATTTGGCTTTAAGCAATTTTGGACTTAAAACAGAAATTCAGCTTTTGTATGTACTTAAAAATACAATGTGTGCTCAAAATTGCATCACTTACCTTTTGAGATAAGGATACTTTTCCAAGAATTTGCAAATCAATCTGTTTTTCAGTTGGATTTAAAATTAATTTTTTAAAAGTTTCTTTAAAATATTTAGAAAAAAAATTCTGATTAGTATTCTAACAATGAAATTCAGACCATTTCCCATGTCATTAATTCACCAGGTTCTTACACATAGGCTGCATTGTGGGGAGAAAAATAATCCATTGGAGTTTACCACTGTGAATTATTTGATTATTTATTCTTGAACAGTAGCTACTATGTATTATCTTCCAAAAGATTCCCACTGCTGGCCTTTCTCAAAAGAGCAGTGACCACTGGTTTCCTCTGCAGGGACAGAAACACCACAGACTGCCCACGGTTAATAGCCTTTTTCAACAAGGTCACCATTTTCTACTGTTATCGGTGAGATCAGGGATTCCTTCAGACACACTTAAAGGGAGTCACTTCCTCCAGGACCTCGTCCTTGCAGTAACAGTACCTTATTGCACTCAGTAGGAGTTTCTGGAGAAAGCAGTTGAGTCTGAAAATGAGTTCATTTCAGCCCAAGCTTTCACAGGAGGCTCTGCCTGTTTGGAGCACGGTGGACTTAGGGTAAGAGGAGGGAGATAGAGCTGAGCATTCTACCATAGATACTAGTCTGATAGTTAGGGGATTTACTTCAAGTAAAAGAGCAATTCAAATTTAAATAAGGGTGTGAACTTATTTTCCTGTATCTCAGGCACCTTCTACAATTTTTAGGTGCTTGGCTGTTCTGGAATCTCAGCCCCAGGGGTTCTGCTTTTCAGAAATAATGAGACAGGTACATGCACCTTCTCTTCCCACACACAGATGAGTGTCTCCCTGCATATTCCTCTCTCTTTTTTGCCCCACTTTAAAAAGTCTTTGTTTTGCCCCTGAAAGGAATCTGTTTTCAAAGAACAGGAAGATGAGCTTCCATGACCTGATGGCCTATTGGATTGTCATCTTCTCAGAAGCTTGCTTTCATTATTTTGGGGGTTGGGAGTGGCACCATATAGAAACAGGAGTCTGGGATAGATTTCAGTGATTAGGAGATTTTTCTGTGTCAGCCTCAGCTATCACATGTATTTTCAGGCATTTGAAGGACTCCTGAAATGGTAATTATTCTTGTTCAGAACTTTATTTCGCACTATAGAAATTCAACAGGTATGGTAAACGTAGCTAGAATGTAGAGAGGAGACACAGCAGAACATAAAGGCAGAGAACTAAGCACAGAGAAATGACAGAAGAAAAAAAGAAACTTGAAGGTGGAAAATTTACAAGAGAATCTGGGAGACAGACAACAAGCTGGAGTATATGCTCCAGCTATTTCGCACTACTCTTCTGAGGCAAGCCAAACATAAGTCCAGCTATTCCATAAGCATATGAAACACTGAAGGCCTACTAGCAAATCTGGTGTTAAAATTTAAAACAAAACCAATGCAACTTCAGTAACACATAAAATGAAATGTCAGGTGGCACTGGAGATACTTTTAGGCTCTTTTGGTTTAGTGCTTGTGCAAGAAATTTTAATGCTAACTCTTCCAGTAAATGATGCAAATCCCAGCAGATAATGCAAATTCCCAGATGAAGCATAACTTCATCTAACATAGCTAGAAGTAGAGGCAACATTATTGGTGTATCAGTGTCCTCTTTTGATCTATGCCGCTAGAAAACTTATAAAATAAAAGTCAAAAACGTTTCAGGTGCCCTGGAAGAAAAAAAATATGTTATGCTATTGGATAAGCTAACTGTCTTTCCTAGTCAATCGAGCTGGATCTTGTAATACCACTGTGACATAAAAAGTTGGATATACATCTTAAGATTACTTTAAAATATTGTTACGAGTACCTTAGTCATAGTCCTTATGATATTCAGGGCAGAGTTAAAGTGCCTTTGGTGACCTTACAGTGACTCAGAGATATGTAGGCTTCTGTTAGGAATGTATACATGCCCTGCTTTCTGCAGACAAATGACCCAGCAACAGGTGTTTGTTGTTACCCAGCCACTTTTTTCACTCCAAATTCCTCCTTACGTGCTACAGCCCTCAAGGCATCACTGAAAACATGGAGTCTTCAATGTGCAAAACTATATTTACAGCCTGATTTTACTCTCTGTCCTCCTTGACAGGCACTCAGACCCAATGTTCATGGGACTGTTGACTGCAGGCATGTTTCTTTTAGAGTCACCCTCTTTGGAGGTCTCAGGTGGCAGGTACAGTTAACGTCAGGGTGAATGCAGTGCATTTGCCACTGACATAGGCGGGGCTGTTGGCATGGTGAGGGGCACAGCACCAGAGACTGTCATGTTCAAAAGACCCTGCTGCAGGTGTTGTAAGGACCTCAAAGAGATCAATATTTCTTGAAGTGTGGGCTATAAAGCCACATACTAGAGCAAATGCTAGAAGCAGTTTTCTTCCTTTAGGTATGTTTTTTAATTGTTTGACATCCACAATCTAGTATAGGTCATCACTCTTTACCATCCTTGCCTTGATTTTTCCTTAGTACACAGAAACTGTTTCTTCTCCTCTACGTACTTGTTACAGCTGTTTTTACTTGGGTAGTGTATCATCTTCTCCTTCATGCACTACCTTTGTAACACCTGCTAGTAGCTCACCAGCAACTTTTGCACAAAACTGTCAGTTTTGCAACTTGCCACTCGGGCACTGGACTTGCTGTTGCTTGATACCAAAGCATCTGTTGTTGATTTGAAGACTGATTTTAATTAGTTATGGTATAAATGGAAAACTGTGTGCAGCAAGGCTTGAGAAGTAGCAAAACTACTTGTTTGTAGTTCTCCAGTGCCATACTCTAAAATGCAGACCATAATTCAGAAGAAAAAAGGTTTTCCTTTGAGAGGATATCATAGGATTAGTTTTCATATTTCTGTCCTTGAAGCCCTCTAGAGCACATCTGGAGATCATTCCAAGAGAGGGAGGAGGGTGGGACAGGGTTCAGATTTAAGACTATGAGAGACCTGGGGCCTTGCAAAAAAAATCACTAAAAGCAAATATTAAGTGTGTAAAGACCGTATTCCAGCATCTCTGTAAATTATACACAGAAGCAGCGTTAAATTCATTTGCTCCAAAGTGAAAAGGGATTTTTTTGCCTTACTGTTCTGTTGCCATTAGTTCATTTATGATCTGACTGGATGAGCTAATGAACAGAAAGAAATTATATTTAACTAAAACTTTCTGTGCTTGTACTTCAGTTAAAAACAGTAATTTAGGTGTGAGGCCTTCTCCCTGCAACTGCAAGACATAGTAATATATATTTTTTGCCTGCCAAAAACACCTACTCTGCGTGTAAGTATAAACAACACATAATTTTCATTTCATTGCATACTGGCATGTAATGCTTAAAAGCAGTTTTTAAAAGTGCATGCTAGCTACACTTGATCTAAGCCAGAGGACATTACAAAAAAAAATCTTATCCTTGAAAATTTTAAATTAATTTATTTTAGTCTCAGTACACCTCCCTTTTCTTTCTCATCAGCCAAATTAACTTGCTCTCAGCTGAACTCAATTGCAACAATATTCTGGAGAACCAAGTAGAGATTTTGGACCACAGTCTCAATCTTAAGTCTTTTTTCTGCAACATCTGTCTTAACTAGAGTTTAGCTTGTCAGGTACTTCAGAGCAAGCCAACTCAAAGGTAAGACATTAGGATAGGGTTCATCATTTGGCAGTGTTGCTACTTGAGGCGGGGTGGGTCTTCCACTCTCTTCAGCTCCCTCCCCTTTCCCTTCACCATCTTTTCCCCTTGTTGCTCTCTCCTGTGCTGTGCTGGCACCAGCACTTTGACAAACACACAATAAACCAGATCAGGGAGTGGATCCTGCTGGGATTCCCTGGCAACAGGTCAGTGTCATGATCTGCTCTGCTGCACAGATGCATGAATGCATGAGTGAACTGCAAGGGGCAAAGGCAGGAGGTAGGTTGGTTGTTTTAGCTAACACTGCCACCAAAGTGTTGTTTGAGGAACTGTAGAACAGATGTCTGCTTTTTTCTTTTTTTTTTTTTTACCTTTCTTCTCTCTCCCCTTCCCTTTTTTTTCAGCTGTTACAAATATCTCCTCAGGTTGGGGCTCTCTTTGCTGGGAATGCTCCACGAAATTGGACAATTTTTACCTCATCTCATGAAAATAGGGAAGCACATACTGCATGAATCACAGGCTGGCATGAAAGGGAATAAAATACAGATATTAATTAAATGCTCTTACACTCTTCCAATACCTATTAGAGGTCCTTAACTTTGCTCCTTTCTCCATCCCACCCCTTTCCTACAGCTTTTTTCTGCCCATTTCATGTAGCTCTGTCTGTATCTCCCTCCTTCTGATCCCATTAAATCCCTGCTTCACACCTTTCTCCTCAATGTCTCTGCCCAGGTTCTTTCCATCCATGTTGTCAAGTGTTTTTTCCCCCCCATCATGGGACAAAAGACTTCTCTTTCAGTCCTAGAGTGCAGCTCATCACTCCTTCCTAGGTGCTGGGCACCAGAGACGTGTCTTGTGATGAGCCGGCTGGGCAGCCTCTTGCTAGGCACTCAGCTGCACTTCTTGCCAATGGAAAGTCTTCCTCACAGGAAACCTTTTGAATTTGCAACAGCCAAGGAGGAGATTGGATTAAACATAGTTAACCTGTCCTCCAGAATAAGATGTTTTGTGAAGTTCATGAGTTTAGAAAAGACTTCCCACAACAAACCCACGGATCCAATTTCCTACCCAGTTTGTGACTGAGTAGGACAGGGACTCTCTTGGGAGCAAGACAAAAACAAATGGTCACGTCATATGTAAAACAGCACTATGCAGCTGCTACTAAAAGAATTATCTTGGCATCAAGAGCAGTTTCCACATGTACTGACACTGAAACTTATGAGGCAACAACTGCCAAGACTAATTTGGGCTGGCTAGCACCTCAGAAAGTGGGATGTTTCTATGGTCAAAGATGGATCAGCTATATATATAATTTATTTAATTCCTTTATTCAAACCTCAGAGTTCATAATGAAATTTAATTTTCTAATACCGAAGGACTTTTCCATTGTTTCTTTGAGCTTCATCAGGCAGGATTTCTCTAAGCATCTGATAGCAAGTGTATTTGCTGAAGATTACCTGAGAGTACTTTAAGGTGAGTTTGGCTGCTGACCTCCACTGCATGCTCATAAGGAAAAAAAGTGTATTATAGTATAACTTTTTTAAGCCATTCATCAGAGTTAGTGTAATTTAAGAACCGTACAGAGTGCACATTCCAGAAAGATTGTTTTATGCCCATGAGTGACTACATGCTCATTTACAGAGGGAACCACTGACTAGAAAAGCACATATTTTCTATTTTTAACTCACACTGTAACTTTTGAGATCCTAAGTATATGGCAAAGCCATGCATATTAAGGCTTATTTCTTAAACACTGCTCTGCTTTTTTGTGTTCTTTTTCTGAAATGCAGGCTATGATAATTGCTTTTACATCTGATATGATTCCTCGTCTGGTTTATTACTGGTCCTTTTCCGTCCCTCCTTACGGGAGTCACAGCAGTCACACTATGAAAGGGTATATAAACAGTACACTTTCTGTCTTCAATATATCAGACTTCAAGAATGCAAGCAAGCCATTTTCCCCTGGTCTTGGGAACCAAAAAACATGCAGGCAAGTGTCAAATAACCATTCTTTTCCAATGACAAAAATAAATATAACTTTTTAATATCTGAATCATCTAATTCAGTTAACAATATCCAGTAAGAAATGTTAAAACACAGTGAAAGCCAGTGTATTTTGAATAGCAGAACTGAGTGAAAGTATTCACCCAGATGTTTGTGCTACTCAGAAAATTCTTTCTTTATTTTGGTTTTCTCATAATTGATAGTCTTCAAAAAAAGCACTTTAGAAATTATATAACAAAGTTCTTAATACAGTGTCAAAAAAAAAAAAAAAAAAAGGGACATTTCAGCCAAATCTAGCTTATTCTGCAGATACAAAGTTTACCCATTACTGTAGTTATGTGCAGCTAACTGTTCCTGGATGCGTTAAGCAGGAACTTGTCTTGCTCCATCCTCTGGCCACAGTGCTTTACTGCAGAGATGCCTGAGACTAGTTCCTGACTTTCCTATGTTGCCTTTAGATACCGGGATCTCCGCTACCCTCCTGGTCACCAGCACCAATATGAGCATAACATATACTACTGGCATGTCATTGCAGCCAAGCTGGCTTTCATCATTGTAATGGAGGTAAGCATATGGGATTTTGAGCATTACTTAAACTTCTCTTCCCTCCATGCAGAAAATCCTTCAAAGATATTCTGTCCAGGCACAGCTATCAGAGCTGACGATGTGTGCTAGCACGGGCAAGAGCCTGGGAGATGAACATAAAGTGTAGCACCATTAGAAAATGAAGTCTCTGTAATTACAACATCAGCATAGGATTTTTAGTTTCAGAAATAGAAAGAACAGTTACATCAAATATTTTTGCGTATACTTAGAAAGAAGTTTGTTCACAGCATCATGAATATGTATACATAATACATGTGCACTAACAGAGTGACACGTATAAAGACAGCCACTGCAAGAGGTGAGTCTCTAGATGAGCATCAAAAAGCAATTCCTCCTTCCTCTGCAGATACAATCTGGGTTTACGAAAGACGGAATTCAGTCCAAGATGAACAGAGAGGAATATTAGGTACTGTTTCATTATAAAACATACTTAGGGCCTGATCCAGCGACTACTGAAGTCATCAGAAACATGCAACTGGTTAGGTCAGAGTTCCCACAGCAGAGGAAATTCCATTGCCCCAAAGTCATTTGAACTAGCCTAAAACAATGTTAAAAGAAACAGTAACCAATATTTCTATGCAGGGGGGAAGCACTGGGTACCAGGGTTCCCCAGAAGCCGGCAGAGAAGTCCTTGTTAAAATCAGGATTAGAAAATCAGAATTTCTTGTTTATCAGACAATTATTCTATTCATTAGTCATGTCTTTTTAAAATACAGTTCTACTGTGATACAGAGCCAGATCACAGTCTTAAGAGATAATGTGATGTTTCATTTATAATAATAATAATCACAACACAACAATAATGTCCTGTTCAGCCTGACTGACATTTTTTTCATTTTCACCTTCACCAGCATATCATATACTTTGTGAAGTTTATTATTGCATACATAATTCCGGATGTATCAGAAAAGACCAAGAGCAAGGTCAAACGAGAGAAGTACCTAACACAGAAACTCTTGCATGAGAACGATCTCAAAGTTGTGGAAAAAACCATGGGGAAAATAGCCAACAAAATTATCAAAGGAGTAGACAGCACTTTCCGACCTAAAGCTGAATAAGTACTTTTTTATATAGAATAACAGTATTTAGCCAACTAATACCTGTCCAGATATTAACAATAGCTAATCAAACACTTTGGATTAATTCCCTTTACTAAACACTGTTTCTTGCAACTGTTACCTGCTCACTTACCTATTTCCCTTGGACAAATGCAACCACTGCGACTCAGATAAGAGTTATCCATTTTTTAAACAGCTTTAGTAGGACATATCTTTCTAACGTGAAGATAAAAATTATTTATCATATTAAAACAATGCAGAATAATTCTCAAATACATAGAGTGCTTTCTTCTTTACTTAGACATTGGCTACTAGATCTCTTGTTTGACTTGAATAAAACCTTAAGAGCAAGAATGATTTGTTGTAAGAATACCATCACGTCTTCTGAAGGAGTTTTAATTACTTGCTAATGCAAATCCCAGCTACAAAATGAAGAGGAAAAGCCAAAACATGAAGGAAAGAGAAGGAAAATATAACTCAAAATCATGCTGTTAAGCCATTGTAATTGACATACTAAGCGCTGTTGTGTGCTATGCTGAATTAGCTATGCATACTGAGACTTAAATGGACAACAAGATATTTCAATTAATCATGGACTTGGATCACAAGAAGCAGCAGGACTGTAAGCCCACCCTGTTCATCAATCTCTGTGTAAACAGGAGAATTGCCTTTGAAATCAATGCATACAAACTGACTTTACAGCACTCTGAGTGAGTAGAAAACGGGCATTTCATCTTTGCCTAGTCAGTGTTCGTTCCCTAGTCAGTGTACTTTCATTAGTTCACTTGCCCATTCTGCTCTGAATGACCGTAGCCTTGAAGGTCTCCTACCTGTAACAGTAATGAGTGTTAAAAGTCTTTTCACATACTCGGACAATATTTGTGGAGGGCTGTCTTTTGCATTTCTCCCACACCAGAGGCACCGTTCCCTGAATGTGGAGCTGGACCTGTTGTGTTACAACATTACATGATAAACTGAATTCTGGCAAGACCATGAATCTATTGAACCTAGAGACTGGAATAAGCCATTTAATATGCCTTAACCATGTTATGAAGCTTTAAATAACTAGGAAGGATGTTACAGGTGTGGATGTATGTGCTAGAGCCATCAGTCATCTTCAAATTAGGCTGCAGATCTGCTTGGTTATTTTACCTCCAGTTGCAAACTGGGAGTTAGGGAACTACAGATTAAGCATGCATATAAACTCTGCTTTGTGTCTGCAGCAGCGATATTCCACATTACGAACTTGCTTTCTCTTTTAACAGTTTTCATGGACCAATTTCTCCAAATTCTGAAAACCAGAATCTTGTTGAAAAAGCAAAAGTATGCCTGTACTCTGTAAACCAGGTGATTACTGTTGGCTTTGTAATTTTGTACTCTTCTTAAGTGTAAGACAGATGCAGAATTTTTAGGTTGTTTATTCATATAGCTTTTTATATATTAAGAAGTTCATTTGCAGAAACTAAGTAGCATTGATAAGATGTATTTTATACCATTAACAATAAGAAGGAATCAAACGTCAGAATTTTGTAGCAAAAACTTCCAAATACTGGCTACTGTGTACCTCGAGCCTATCCTCTGAAATAGCAACATTTAAACCAGGAGAGGTAGCACAAGAGGGGAGCACTTTCAGCGGTCATGATACAGAAACTTGCACTCAGCAAGACTTTGCAAAACAATTGCATGGAAGAACATGAGAGGAAAGCTTGGTTCAAAAATTGAGGAAAGATGAAAGAAAGAAACTCACAGGTTCCAGAGAACCACATGCATTTCTGACACTGAAGGACTGAAGCTTACTTGTTATAATGTTCAGAAAACTTTCTGTAGCCACCCCCTGAAGACAAAAAAGATGCAGGACAGAAAAACAAGATAGACCATAATGATAAATAACAGTCAACCAGAGCAGAATGGAACCAGTGCTTCTTTGCACAGGGAATGCTACCTTTTGCCATTTGTTTTGGTTTCTAGTCAGAATAATTACAAGTCTTTAATTTACCGGGAATTAAATATAAATTGTGCAGATGGACAAAAGAACACTCAGAAGTTTCTAAACAAGACAGGATTTCTCATCAAAGTATCTCCCCTCAATACTGGTTTGACCTTTTGCCCAAGTCATTGGATGGTTGGGGTTGGAAGGGACCTCAAAGTCATCTGGTTGAATCCCCAGCTCAGGCAGGGCCATCTAGAGCAGGTTGCCCAGGACTGTGTCCAGACAGCTTGTGAATATCTCCGGAGATGGAGACTCCACAGCCTCCTTGGGCAATCTATGCCAGTGCTCAGTCACTCTCACAGTAGAAAAGTGTTTCCTGATGTTCAGAGGGAACCTCCTGTGTTTCAGTTTGTGCCCATTGCCTCTGGTCCTGTCACTGCATAGTATACCAGACTTCTGTTTAAAACAAAATTTTGTGCAAAAGACTGTTTCATGGAACAATTTTATTGAAGCACTCAGATTTTTCCTGTGAGTTTGGTTAGAAAGGCCAGTCACTTCCTTGCAGACTGGCCCTTCCCGGTCTGCAGTTGTGTTTGGCTGAGAAATGCCATTTTTCGTACCCCTATCAGTGATGACAGTGCCAATGCACCTTAAATATCCTTTCAGGTGCTGTGTGTGAGGGCTGAGGCAGGCAAGGCAGCATGCTGTGAAAAAAGCACAAAAAAAACCCCAACTCAAAAACAAGCAAAAAAAGCCCAGCAGAAATGGACCATTTCAGGTAACTATTTGGTCTTAAGGAAGGATTTATTGCCCTCTTTGAGAGGTAAAAAGACTAAGACACAAAGGAATTACGTGCCTTGCCTGGGGTCACACTGTGAGCCGTGGCAGAGTTTAAGGCTGACTTTCAGGAGTGTCTGGTCTTCTGGTCATCCTTTGGTTCCTGTGACCTCTCTCATTGCAACTTTTTTGCATCAGTTGGCCACATTTCCTGAAGGGGAAGTTGGTCCTCAATGGCATGGAGAGTTTATATTCCTGCCTTTAAAATAATGCTTTAAAAAATACGCTATGTCAGCAAAGCATGTGTATCTATGACCTGGGCTCCTTCTGTAAGAAAATCCTAACCAGTTTTGGGTCTGTTTCTACATTGCCATTTTTGTTCGGGTGAAGAGTGTGATTTTGAAACTAGTCTTCCACTTGTCCCTGCTTTCTGGGTGGTGCTTCCAATCATAGACAGGTGGACTGGATTCCTGTGGTTTAAACTGAGACAGAAGGCAGGTTTTAGATACGTACTTAGTGATCTCTGACAGGCACTTAGTCCAGAGAGCTAAAACCAGAGCTAGGCTGAAGAGAGTGGTGAGTATTGTGTGGGCATCACCTAGTCAGCATCAACTTTTTGCTCTAGTGATATGCTTCTGAAGTGCCACGCTACTTGCTAATGTAGCTGTAACATTTAATTTTAGAAGACATATCAGGAATTCAGTTCATTTTGACATATGCACAGTGTTATTCACAGCACAGTTCTAAATGAGAGAGAAAGAAGAGGGAAACCAAAAGAGTCCCTAATAATTGTATTTTAATATTTGGATCTCTTAAGCTGTGCAATTTCTGTAGCCTCTATCTCCAGCTGCTGAAGTGTGCTCTGCTTGTACACGGGGAGCTCTGCAGAGGCACCATAACAAAATGCTGGGGGGGTAGTTGCCAATATACCAATATAAGAGAGTATTTTTAACTTTTTTTTTTTTTTTTAGTCTAGGTCACTTTAATAACAATGAAAGATCTGCTTGAAGGGAAAATTACTATTTGTTTCAAATTATTAATCAGTTTTACTCTTTTTAGACTTTATATGCAGGCCGGACTCTGACTTTGTACAGATCTGTTGAAATCAGGGTGAATTTGATCCATTGACCATTTCATTGCCTTAACAAGCACCATAAATTACAGACCGTTGCCACTGTTTTAGACTCTGTGTATGTTGACAAAATTCAGAATGTAAGAATGTATTTTCTGTATTTTGAATGTTTGCTATTAGTTTCTGAATATTAAGATTTCTTTATATTTATTATAATT